TTTTGTCTGACCCAGTATGGCCATTCTTGTGTTCTTCATTATGGGCAATTTGACATTTATCAACTGTTACTCAATTTTTGTAAAACATATTCTCCCAAACTGCTATGAAATTAGAGATTATAAAGAGGCTGGTTTTGGAAAATATACCCAAGCCCTCATGTTATCAACTACCTAACTTAGAAATTTTCTCTAGTAAATATCCACTTGCCGCAGATATGAATCACGTCACAGAATCTTATACTCTATGACTTATATAATATTCAAATATTTGTTCTACTTAATATACAATTAGTTTTTCTCTGTAGATCATTCACCATATTTATATATTGTAAATTAGTTCATTGAACTCTGTAATGAATATATAAGCCCATTTGTCACCTATAACTAGTGCAGCTGTAGTTGTTCAATTGGTATCTTGAAGGGGGAGAGTTGCTTTGTTTACCCACTGCTTCACATTCTCATTAAATGGTTTGTAGTGTATTGATTAAGTATAAGGTTTAAATCCTACTATTTAAATGTTCTCACATACCTAGTTTGGTTTTCAATAGCCTACATGTAGTCATACTCTGGTAGGATCAGAGTTTTAGGTCTTAAAGGAGTACAGCTATACAGTGGGTAGAGGACTAGATGCTCTTTGCTTTGGAGAAACTCAAGGGGAAAGTGCAGAAAACTTCAAAAACATTTCTTCCAAAAAGGAAGGGTTTAGAATTCAATGGGATCCAATCCCCTATGAATCCCAGGGATCCTGGTAAGCCACAGTGCCAAGACCCTGTGTTCCACTGATCTGAAGCCAGTTTGCATAGAATTCTGGATGGCTCCATGTGTCTCTCTACCAGTTCAGATTCCCTGGCAACATACCACCTGCATAGGCTACTCTATTGTTGACTTATTAACTCCGACAGATTTCTGCGCAGAAAACGTGCCCGTATACACAGTACGAGGCAGAGGAGAGTAATCTGTTGCTCGATGCTCTCCTCTTCATGCCTTAAACCCACAGAACCCCAACCCTCTGAAAACCTCCGGGGATGGTGGTGGAAGTGCTCTCCCATTCTATGCTGCCATGGGGATTTACCTTCAGCAACAACACTGACTCATAGTTACTCATACTAAATTCTCTTTTATGCCAAGGCCCTCTTACACTGCTCTGGCCCCCTAAAGCTACCTCAAAGGAGGTGGAAGTGGCACCCTGAACTAGCTGTGTACAGGGGACCTTCCCAGCCAGTGCAAAAAGCCGTAGTCCCTGGAGAGGGCTCAGGGCTGGAGAATGGGATGGAGATAGGGAATTAACTGGACTGCAATGCATTATGGGTAGTCTGCTTCCAAGGGTCCCCTTGCAAGACAGGAGATTAGAATCTTTCCTCAGCCTATCAAAAAGAAACAAACACACCGCCTTTGTTCTAACTGTCTGAAGGAGAAATGAGAAGCAAATTAACCCTGCTTTCAGGAGGGGACTGCCACAAGGCAGGTGCCTTGATCCTGTATGTTAGCTCCAGGTGAGAGGTGACATTTAAAAAAAAAAAAGCTCATAGTAGGGGTTGGGTTTAATTTCTTTACTTAATGTAGGGTCCAGGTAAAATTAAAAAAACACCCTTCGAATTCCTCCTACTTAGTAGAAGAATAGTAGTATTTTCACGACTCCCAGCACCATCACATTAGCCACCAAGGAGCAGCACTGTTCATGTGTCTAGAATTAGTCCTTTGAACATATCCTGTTATAGGCCTGGGCAGGAGTGTTCAGTATTTGTTCTTGTCTTCAGATATGAATATGACAGCTGCGTGCCTAACACCTTCAATGGATTCTACAGTTGTGTTAGAGAAGACAAAGGAACAGCCCTAAATAAAATATTACTAACACTCACGTATACACTTTCCCTCCAATGAATTCACAAACATTTATTGACAGTCATACACCAACTCGGAGAAGTTGACAGCATACACCCATGTTTTCCACCCTGCACACTACCTTTGTACAAAATATGCCTCGTAAAATATACACCTCTACCCCGATATAACACGACCCGATATAACATGAATTCGGATATAATGCGGTAAAGCAGTGCTCGGGGGGGGGGGGGGACGGTACGCACTCC